TCACCCAGCACCATACATAACACGGGAGATTGGGGCTTCACCCAACCCCCTTTACAGGTTCACTGGAGTTGCCCTTAGATCTAGTTGTAGGGAGTCAGCACAGAAAACGTCTGGTCCTGCTTAGGCTTTTCTCCAATCATGGTCCAAATGCTATATTGAGGTCCGTGCTTCTGGCTATGCGCTTTTCAAGTTCTAATGAGTTCCTCATGAAGAAAATATAGGTTGTACGAGAGGCATTTTTTCTCTGCACACTTCCCTGTAGATTCACAGTGCTAGTCCTTCTGAAGGGCCGTCCTCTCTAAATTTAGTAAATTTAGCATATATGCCAAGTTACTATAATAACAGATCCCTTTTAGAACTGCTGTGCTCCAGGAAGAAGCTGGCCAGAGGACAGCACTAAGAGTGCAGTAAGAGTCAAGCCGCTGTTATTGTAACGCTAGCTCACAGTTCCTGGTGGTTGACTCAGTCACAAGGAGTGAAGCTCTATATAAAGATTGATGTTGTGGCTATTAGGTATCAAGTCTGTTTGGGTTCCAGTGGTTCCACTGGCTTCTTATATAGTTGCTTAGGTTATTGATTTCCTAAAGCTCTCTGTCAGGTTTCTACTACAGGAAATGTGTCAGCCTGATCTGATACTTGCCACCCGATCCGAAACCCTCACCCACAAATAACACGCCAGCACTGCTTGTGGCTCCCATTTGACTTGTTTGGTGCAGTGTAATGAAGGCCTGGCTTGTCTTGAGGGCAGCTCATTTCTATTAATATGACTGTGATGGATGATGTGTCAGGAATATAATGGGCCAGGCAGAAGGATGAAGGAAATAAGCATGTGAGATATCCAGATACATACAGGTGTCAGACTTTAACTCTATTTCTTTTGGCTTCTCTTGCTGTCAAGATTTGATTAAAGTTGCCACATTATTAGGACTATGACTGTATATATCAATGCTGTCAGAACAAAACCACTTTAAAGCTTTAACAGGGAATTCCACCATTTTCTTACATGTATGGATAATTAAATTGGTAAGATGTAAACAAAGTGGTTTAATGTGAAATGCACCGTTCTAGAGAAACTTGGCGAGTCAGTGGTGGTTAACCTAAAATACACACACACACATCATCTAAACCACTTATCCTTCTGGTTTAACCTAAAATATACTTTATATATTTTTAAAATCCATTCATGGTGAAGAGGTACATGCAGGGCAATATCAGGAAAAATAGCACCTGATTAAAAAATATTTTACCATTTTCATCATTAAATATAAAAGTTCATGACACATGCAGGTTCACTGGTTGTTTTGGATAGTAATTAAAATAGCTATGTTTGCATTTTAGACATCATGACCCCTGATTACTATCACCACCACTACAAAGAAATCCATGTATTAAAGTTTATCAACTATGAATCATTTCATGTCTAACATCTCTGAGTGACTTTGTTTACATCTCAATTATTACATTTTGAGTAATATATTTTGGAATTCACTTTTAATTTTATAGGAGAAGGAAAAAAGTATTCTTACAATAAAAGAATGTATTCCATGTAGCATTCTGGAGCATTTGTATTGATCCACTCAACATATTTATAATAATTATCGTGATATAATTATAATAAATTACTGCATTATACACTGAACTTCCAGTCTATGTGCACCAACTATTCATCTTTAGGGCCATTATGTGAATGAAGAGCGCAACTCAGGATAATGTATGTTTATATATATACATATATATATATATATATATATATATATATATATATATATATATATATATATATATAATGTATATACATACACATACCTGTGCTGTTATTATCCTGAGAATATATATATATATATATATATATATATATATATATATATATATTCTCTGCTGCTGCACAGTTTGTGTTGGTCATCCTCTAGTCCTTCATCAGAGGTCACAGGACACTGTTGGCAGGATATTTTTGGTTGGTGGACTATTCTCAGTCCAGCAGTGACACTGAGGTGTTTAAAAACTCCGGCAGCACTGCTGCGTCTGATCCACTCACACCAGCACAACACACGCTAACATGTCACTACAGTGCTGAGAATGATCCACCACCCAAATAATATCTGCTTTGTGGTGGTCCTGTGGGGGTCCTGACCATTGAAGAACAGGGTAAAATGGGGCTAACAAAGTATGCAGTAACTGAATAACTACCCATCCTATATAATAAATGGAGCTAATAAAATGGACACAACCTTGTAGAAACAAGGAGGTGGTTCTAATGAAGTGGCCGGTTGGCATATATTCATTTAACGTGACATTCTGTTCATGCAGCTCTTTTGTGGCCATTCAGTAACATGAAGGCCAGCCACAGAAAAGAAAATGTAAAGTATCTTGAGGTACATATTTGCAAATATTACATCACTACTCACCCCCCATACTGTAAATACATGGCAGGGAGGTAATTCTCTCTAAACAAACAGAGGGAATACATGCACATTTTGCAGTGCAGGCCATAGACTTATTAAAGTGTTTCCCTCATTTAAATAAAATGCAAAGAAATTTGGCAACAATTTGATTTGATTTTGATTTATTCTTATTATGCTAACTATAGGAAAAGAGGACAAGGTTGAGGCGTCCTCTAAAAGAATGTCGGTGACAGGACTCATACTGCTCTCCTACACTCACACAGAGCTCAGCGTGCTGAGAACACAGCGAATGACACATACACATACACACACACACACACACACACACACACACACTCCACAGTCACATATGCTGCGGCTTTTGTGTTAAAGAAACAGAGAGCGGGTGTCAAAACTCATTCAGGAGTGAGGTTTATATAAAAAGAAAAAATCCAACTCAGAATCCAGTCTCAGAAAGTTATCTTAGAAAGGAATGTAGAGTCAAGGTCACACACTGCATTGGGTTCCACACCAGATACAGCTCATGCAGCGTGCACACATTCAGAGGCTTCTCCTTTCCAAATGGCATGTGGAGGGAGGGCTGAGCATAAGGCTCTGCATCTGTCTCTGCTGTAAACGATATCCTACGACTGAGAGCTGACAGAGCATCTCTCTCTCTCTCTCTCTCTCTCTCTCTCTCTCTCTCTCTCTCTCTCTCTCTCTCTCTCTTTCTCTCTCTCTCTCTTTCTTTCTCTTTGTTCTGTTCTTTCTCTCCTCTCTTCCATTATTTCTCCCTCTCTCTCTTTGACTTTCTCTTTGTCTCCCCCACTCTTTCTTTCTTTCTTTTTCTTCATACTCTACTTCCCTCCTCCCTCTTTCTCTATTGCTCCCCTCTCTTTCTGTCTCTTACATTTCCATTCTTTCTCCTCTTGCTCTTCTATTATCTCTCTCTCTCTCTCTCCCATTCTCTCTCTCGCGCTCTCTCTCTTCCTCCCTTTTCTCCCTTTTCTCTTATTCTTTTTTTATACTCTCCCTCCATCCTCCCCCTCTTTTTCTCTCTCCTTTTCTTTCTTCCCTTTCTCTTCTATTATTTCTCTCTCTCTCTCTTTCTCTCTCTCTTCCATTCTCTCTCTTGCGCGCTCTCTCTTTCTCTCTCTCTCTCTTCCTCCCTTTTCTCTGGCACATGCTTTCTCTCTTTCTTTTTTCATACTCTCCCTCCATCCTCCGTCTCTTTCTCTATTGCTTCCCTCTTTCTCTCTCTCTTTCCCTTTCTTTCTCTTTGTTCCAGTCTTTCTCTCCTTTCTTCCATTATTTCTCCCTCTCTCTCTCTTTCTTTCTTTCTGTCTCTTCATACTCTCCTTCCCTCCTCCCTCTCTTTCTCTATTGCTTCCCCTCTCTTTCTCTCTCTCACTTCCATTCTTTCTTCCCTTTCTCTTCTATTATTTTTCTCTCTCTCTCCTTCCCTCCTCCCTCTTTCTCTGTTGATTCCCTTCTTTCTCTCTCTCTCTTTCTTTCTGTCCTCCTTTCTCTGTCACAGTTCTCTCTCTTTATTTATACTTTCCTTCATGCCTTATTCTCTTTCTCTATTACTTCCCCTCTCTTTCTCTCTCCCCTTTCTGTCACACTCTTTCTTTCGTTCTCATTTTTTCTCTTTCTTCTCTCCTTCTCTCTCCTTTCCTTCTTTCTCTATCCATCCCCCTTTCTCTCTCTCCTTTGCTTTGTTTCTCTCTCCCTCTCTCTTCCTCTTATTTCTCTTTCTCTGTCTCCTCCTCTTCCCCCCTTTTCTCTCTCACTTTGTTTGTTTGTTTCTTTCTTTCTGTCTTTCTTTATCTACTCCTCTCTTTCTTCCCCTCTCTTGCTCTCTCTCTCTCCTTCCTTCACTTCTTTATCATTCTCTATTGATTCCTCTATCTCTCTTCTCTGTTTTTCTTCATACTCTCCTTCTCTCTTTTCTCTTTTTCTCTATTGTTTCCATCTCCCTCTCTCTCTCTCTTTCTCTCATTCCCAAAGCAGGTGTGCTGTCTTCAACTGAAAGCTATTGCTGCCCACCATGCCAACCCAGCCGTCACTCCATAGCAGAAGGCCAGCTGCTGCTCTCACTCTTATCTATCTCTTCCTCTCTCTCTCTCTCTCTCTCTCTCTCTCTCTGTCTCATTCACATGCTTTCTTCTACTGTCACACATACCTAGATATCTAAAATATAAATAAACATATAAATGATTTTTTCAAGAGAGACAGAGAGGATCAGATCCAGTAACCCTTAAATGAATGAGTATTTCACCAGTGCTTCATGCCTTGGATCATTAGTAAAACAGTCTTATATCTAACAGATAGTGGTTCACAAACCGCCACGGTGGTATAAAACTGACAACAAAAAACAGGCGATGGATGAGGTACATGGGAGAGATGAGGTCACAAACCATTAGTGACCCGAAGTACGCACTTAAGGGTTAAATGGGTGGAATACTCTCAATGTTAATTCTTCAAGAACAATACAGTTCCGTCTCTTTGATGACTGTGAATTCAAGAGTCTCCAGCAGATTTACCCCTCTCCCCTGTACCATGTACTGTAACTCCTGCCAAATTAGTTAAACAAGACCTCTTGTTAAGATCTCTTACCAGTGTTAATGAGGGGATGGCTGGTCACTGTGGTCATATTGTGGCTCACACTGACCATACGTGCGCCAACATCATTGGCACTCTCATTCGTCTTCCCTGGCTCTGAGGGAGCGTCTGCGGGGCTGGCCTTTGCTCCTGCTGCTGTGGGGCCCTGTTGTCCTGGGAGGCTGGAGCTCTTTAGCTGTGGCCCTGGTTGGCTGGGCAGTGTGAGCTGATTTGCACCTCCAGCGCTTGGCTTCAAACCAAGACCCTGCAGCTGAGGCTGAGTGGAGGAGGAGACCACTGCCCCCTGCTGGCCATGCAGCACCAGGCCCTGCATCTGTGAGATTTCAAAACAAATTTGTGCGTGTGAGGACTCCCATGATTACTCAATTACTAAATTTTAAAACATGAATTGATTAAAATGTACATTCTCAATGAAGCTGCAATGATTAGTTGGCAATTTCCATGATTATAATGCATAATTTAAATTCTCCTGCATGTATTTTTTCCACATAGCATTTTCATACATTTTCAATTAAGTCTGTTTTAAAAAAAATCCTTATTTATCATCCTCCAGTAATATATGTCGGAATATTTAGAAAAAATATGCGTGATTGTTTTGTCTTCAGTTATTCAGTATAGTATTGGGAATATTCAGGACACAAAAATTAAGTATTTGTATTCTGTCCAAGTTCCATTCTATAAAAGCAGTATTCAGAAAAAAGTTACTTAGAATAAAAGTAAAAATAAAGTAAATTTTCAGGAGAATACTTTTAAAATAATTAACTGCTAAATATAAAAAAAATGCAATATGCAAAAGAAACACCATCAATGCTTGTTTATAAACTTTTTTAGAATCAGCACACAACATGCAGCAAACATGCTTGTTGAATTCTAAAGTGGACCTCAGTTAACAACCTCTTTACAAGTTCCTGCTAAAGCCTGAGTAGACTGATAAATCAATGGGATGAGCCAGTTATTAATCTTAGTGTTACTGAAATCTTTTAAAGAGCTGATCAAACTTATAATCTTCTCAGTAGTGAACATGTTTGCAAGTGAGCAAGTTTAGCATCTGTGTTGTACTGGACTCTTGCTGAGGGGATTGAAGGAGCAGCAGCGGACAAGATGTGTTGTAAATGTATTCTACATCTATTCTGAATATGTTCTTTTTTTATGTATTGTAACAGAATACATTACTGAATACATTCAGAGCAGTGTATTCTGTATTCAGCCATCGCTACTTTTGCTGAAAAGTATGTTGTCAAACCCTGGGGGTGGTGAACTGTGGAGGGCTGGTATCCAGCACAATTTGGTGATTTTGCTGCTCTTAACACACCAACTAAACTTGGCAATTAACTGCTGAGTTGAATCAGATGTGTTTTAAATAAAGAAAAATCACTAAACTCCGCCAGACTCCAACCCTGCAGGACTGGAATTTGGCCCCCCATGAGTTAAGCCCATTTTTATCGCTTGACTTTGGTTATGTGTATATGTATATATATATATACATAAATATATTGTCCTGTTTTGTGCCTCATTCAAAATGCAGTCCTTATGACATCAGTGTTAATAAGCAGGATTAAACTGCTGTAGTCTAAATATGTAGATATTTAATTAAAAATGGGCTGTTTTGCAGATTAGTTTTCATACATGAAACGTATGAACTGTAGAATTATCTCAAAAAAGTAAAAAAAAAAAGTTTTATATTATATGGGTTCAGGTACAATGATATGAAAGCAGTACCTGTGCATTTGTGGTCTGCTGGTTGACCGACTGTGAGGACACCTCCGGCTGGACGGCAGCGACTGTGGCGGTTGGAGTGAGTATGAGCTGGGGGGACAAAGGAACAGCACGGCCTAGGCTCCTAGCTACTTGCACAAGATTATTTTGCTGTGCCTGAAAATTATAAATTATATTGTAAATATAATTATATGTTTACATGTAAATTATATCATAAATTATAATGAGTCAAAGATGACTGTTTTTAAGTATATCAGAATACAGCACAGGCTTTTGTCATTGGCAGTTATACTCTAAAAAGTAACAAATGCTTTTCCTCATACTGAGGACTTCACAATTTAGGTGTTTTAGTTTTACACTTTGGATAACAATATATTTACAATGGAAGTATAATAATAATAATAATAAACAGACTACACTAGAGCATCATTAGATTTTGAAGCAGTTATTTTAAGCCTATCCAGGCCATAAAGTCACGAGTGGAAACTGATGAGGCTCCATTTCACATCCTGGTGTTACCCAGTTCCTTCTTGCCATTGGATACTCCACCAAAGCTATGAAGGGAATGGAGAATTTGCCAACAATAATGTTTTAGATTCACCACCTCAGGTCTCATTTGTTTTCTAAAAGAACTGCTGCCATGGCAAAGCTATAAGCCAAGGCCACAAGAAAGGACTGGTTCCAGCTGTAAATGTGGAAAGCTTGACCTGACAACCCAGAACAGAGAGGCATGGGCATATTTCCACTATAAAAGGAGGACACACCACATGGTATTTCTATTTCTACACCATGTGCCATACAACTATTCCTGTTTTATATGTGGAGGGAAAAACCATTAGACTCACTCTCGCCGGGAAGCTGTGGGTTAACCATGAAAAATAATAGCAAAGATCTACTTCTATTCATTTCTAACCCTGTATAACAGAGGTGGGCTTTTTCTCGGAATGGGACTTTCAGTGGGTCATAAATATACTGCTAGTTTAACAGCGCTTGTTTGTGTGTGTTTTGGTGCACATGTGTAGGTATCACCCTACCATCTGTGCGCGCAGGTACATCTGTGCTTGACTGGCGGTGAGGGTGGGGGTGGAGGAGTTCCCCAGAAGAATGGCCTGCTGGCTAATGCTGACCGGAGAGGAGGTCACTCCCTGACCTCTGCTAATCAGCTGGGCAGCTGCTGCAGGAGAGCTGGCCAGCTTAATCTAGGAGAAAAAATTATGGAAACATAGTGTGTGAAACTACAGTACCAGTACCAACCACTTATTCAAATTTTGCCCCATAAAATAAAAATACACCGACTGTTATACAAGAAGCTGCAGCGTACAGTGTATTAATCCAAGTGTGTTCCCTTCTCTAGTTTTGTATTTTATCTAACAGAATCAAAAGGGCAGAAAATTTAATCTCAGTAGAGATTAAACTGCCAGATAGTATTCAGATTAAATTATTCTGAATAAGCTATCTTGAATTTTTTATAAAGTGTCCCCATGTTCGTAGAAAGTTATTATGAATCTCAGGTTGTGAGGCCCAAAATTGCCCATTAGAAAGTAAGTATTATTAATTACTTCCTACTTTATTGTTACTATTCTGCACATTTTAAAGTAAAAGTGAAGACAGCAGAACTATGTGGTCTCCTGCATGGAATCATGTAGAGACCAAAAAGTACTAAATCCAAACCTAAAAATCGTAAAGTCTTAGTAGCCTTCCTTTGTTTGGGTCCAGCTTGGCAAACTCTTGGCACTGTCTCAAGTAATCTCGATCAAATGACATGTTTTGGTGATTGAAAAGTTTAACTTATTGGAAAAAAAATAAAACAAAAAATATTAAACGTGCCATAACATTTGCACAGGCCACATTTTATCTTTTATTTTTCCCCTTAATGTTAAAATGTGTTACATTTAAATATGCTAAATATGTTTTTATGTATTATAAAACTAAAATGTGCAGAAATGTGTTAACTTATTTTCAATTAGAAAATCAGCAAAGCATGTCATTTAAACAGAGCTGCCCAAACTGAATGCATAGACTTACCATTACTTTTGGGGAAAATTTAAAAAATATGTATATATATTTTTGAATGGTTCATTCTGGGAATAAATTCATTCCTAAGCATCAACAAATTTCAAGCATTTAACTCTAAACCTTTACATTGAAACGTCTTTAACCCACAGAAGTCACAGTTATTGCTGGCATTAATAAAAACACAGAATTCAATATTGATTATTTCTTACTCATGTAAGCAAGTACAGAAACTCTGTAGAAAGAACAGATCCTAAACTTCTGATCCAATGTTTGTATTTGTAGATATAAGAGGTCTTATTATGGTTTGAATTTGATAAAACATTTTTGTGCGCATAAAAACATGCTACACAGTTCTGTCACATTTTCTCTATAAGCTTCAGCTTCTATTTTTCTCTTAACTAAAACGTCTTTTTCTATGTCAGCGAGGTCCATTCAAACCGATACTAAGAATGCTATAACATGCTGACCTTGCGAGGATGAAATATGCGGTTATAGATCAGTAAACTGGAATGAGATTTACAGTCATTTGTTCCACGGAAGCGGACGCTCGCTGAGTGAGACGTCAGTGCCAGGTTTTATAAAGCTTACCGTGGTTTGGGAGGATACAGCCTGCTGAGATGCCGTGCCGTTCTGACTACAGTTCTGTCTGCCTGCCACAATGCTGGCCTGGATGAGAGAGAAGGAGGGAGAGAGAGAGAGAGAGAGAGAGGGTCACAAGTCATATCCAGCCCTCATTAATCAACAGTAAAAGCTCTCCACATATAAAGACACCACACATGATGTTAGCAACTATGGCAGGAAACAGATCTCTCTCCCCTCTGGCCTGGCTCCACAGTCTGTCACTCAAACCCCACACATCAGGCCAGCATTCACTCAAAGTGCTTTTCAAAACATGCAACTTTACAAAAGTACTGACCGGATAAGCCGATAAACCTGCATATTTTCGCCACCACTAGAAACCACATTGTATGTAATTAGTGAGTTTAAGTGCCTGTGGCTCTGCCTATGTTTGGTGAGTTCCTGGAAGTGGTAGATTTTGATCCTGTATGGCTAACTAATGGCTATTCTCTTGTTTTCATTCGCCTCAGGGTCCACAATTGCAGGATGTGGTTTGGCAAACAACAGTGTTTTTTTTTTATATAATAGCTGAAAATTAGGATTTGAGAAGTGCAGTGAATGTGATAAATATCCACAGATGTCTCAGGAAGACTTAACTGCATGAATAAATATGATGGAGAGGTTTTAAAGAGGCCTTTTTTTCTTTCATTTTTAAAAGAGTTTAGGCACATCAAAACAATAGAAGAATATATCTTCTTATATCGTTAATTTAATTAATCTGCAGAATAACCTTATTTTAAAGACTGTTTCATGCCCAAACATCTTCACTACCCATGGACCCTATGATGCGCTGTTCAGGGAAATACTATTATTTGGGTGATAACAGCCCTCCCATTAAAAATACAAGTTTCTACATTTAGAAGATTATATAGGACTGGTCAGTGGTAATATGCCCCCAAATGCAAGGTTTTTGGCCCTTAAAACACAAGCACAGGGGGACATACCTGCAAAATACCCCAATCTAAATGTAGTAACTCAGTTCTAAACTGCAAAAAACAAAGGGAAGTGAATGTTACTGTCTCGCTAAATCAACTGCTGACAATGTTATTTTGGCAAAAACAACCTCTCAGTAAACATACATTATGTCATACATTAGATCTGCTTTTACTGGCACGCCTGATGTGGCTGCACTGCGATTCTGCACTGAAGCTTAAGGTCTTGAGCAATCAGTGATTTATGGCGAATTTACTTTCATCTGAGTTGCCTAAGGACAAGGTCGGTAAACATGTACAGACGAAAAGGTGTGAACGTGATGTATGATATCCGTGCTTCTGAGTAACGGCACTTCTGAAACTTCTCACACACCAGTATAGAAAATGCTTACGAGGAAGAAATCTAAGATTTCTTCTGTCACGGGTAAACTGTATGTGTGTGTGTGTATGTGTTTGTGTGTTTGTGTGTGTGTGTGTGTAATAGACCTGTTGCACTGCGGCCAAGCTCAGGTGTTGCTGCTGGAGGGCTGCGGTCTGCAGCATGAGGTGCTGCTGCTGTGCTGCATACATCTGCTGCAGGTACTGAGCTGCTGTACTGGGCTGCCTGTGCAGAGCCTGCTGGATCACCTGAGAGAGAAAGACAGAGAGAGAGGAAGGGAGAAAGTGAAAGAGATTTTTTTTTTTTACATGGTTTTAATTGCCAGCTGCCCTTTTTTACACAGTAACAAAAGTATTTAAAATTTACATTAAAAATTAAAACTAACATCAATCTGAACCCAGCAAACAAAGAGCATCCTAATCAAAATCTCTTTACAAATAGTCAGTCCGTCACGTTACGAACGTAAATGGACGTCTAAAATCTGTTTTAAAAGTCAACTGATTGGTGACTTAATAATAATAACCATGGGTGATCAAAATGTGCTGTTAAAGTCAATTTGTCAGCAAGGCTCAAAGGTCTTCTATTACACTGAATGCAGTTCTAACGAAGGAAAATGCAAACCTTTCTCATGCTGGAAAGTGTCCTACCCTTTTTCCAAGAATGTAATCAATCAACAATTCCATGGAAAGTACCTTGTCAGGCTTAGGAAATGCCTTCATTGTGGGAGAGCTCAGTGCTGAAACAATAAACTTTAGACACTGTGTAAGTCCTCGGCTGCAGTGCTGGACGCCCAGCATGGCATGAGGGGTCACTGCCATCCATCACAGCAGATAATCAGTCAGAGCAGAGACAGCCCGACTGCACTGGCCAAAACCCCACTGGAGGCTACAGAGCTCCCAGCAGTGCACACGGCTGTCTGTTACAGCTATAGAGAAACTCTTAACTCTAACTTTTAACACAAAGTGCTAAGCTTGTTTACAGGTGACAGCAGCATATGATATGAACCATTAATAACTGGCCTGAACATCATTTTGGTGGAATTGTTCTGTTTACTATGTACAACAATGAATAATTGTCCTTTAGCTGTTACATAATGTTTAAAATTATCCAAATTTCAATGATAAAACTACTGCATGCCGGCTTAATATCTCTCATTTGCCTTTACATGGTCTTTAGCCACAGATCAACAGCCACAGAAGATTTATTTAAGAACAGAGGAGATGAACTTGCAACCAAAAGAGCAAGAAATCTTCAAATCTTGACACAAAGCTGCAATCAAGTTATGCTAGTTTTCAGCTGGACTTTCTTCAAATTACAAGTCAAAATGGCCCAAAAACAGCTCAAATCAGCTATTTATCAAAACCTCCTCAATGCAATGTGAGCATGATAAAGTAATAGCAAAATGTCAGATCAATATCAGTGGTCACCCCAACAATCCAATTAAACATCAGCTCTGTCATTAGGAGACTATAACTGAACATCTCAAACATCAGGATAAAGATCTGACGCCTAATTCATCAACAACTGGAATGGCTAACCAGCCCAGGACTTCTGTTCAGAGTTCTCCACAGCATAGTGACACAATGAAAACCAATACCTCAAAGCAGAGCAAGCCAGCCTTAATATCTTCAACTCCGACTGAGTGTGTTCTATTTCAGCAGCAGATGGAAGTGTGAAGTCCATTTGAGAGAATCCTCTGCTTGTTCACTCATCTGTCTCGTGCATGTCCCACGCAAATCTAGATAAATGAGGAACTCCTGCCCTTTCGGTCAGTCAGTCTGGGGATATCCCTCCCTCCCTCCCGCTAAACAGAGAGAACTCAAACTCAGAGAGTCTTATAAGGGTTTAAAAATGGTTTAAATAAGTTAAAATGGTTGTTAATGATTTAATTAAAACTCCTTACAGATCATAAATAAGTAGTTGTAATACATAAATAAAAAGAGCAGCAGTGACTTGTTGCTTGCCAAATAGTGAACCCATTCTTATCTATGCTGTTGAATCTGAGATAAATAATACTGTGATAAGTAATATTATATTGTATGTTATATTTTATATATATATAACATTCAACAACAGTAAAATATTGTTAATTCTTATTATTTTCCAGCCATTTTCCAACTTGATTATAACTTCTGGGAACAATTTGCTGCTGTCGAACAAAACCTTGTATCTCCATTTTTGTCATTTTTCAGTTTTTGACATCATTTGAAAATGCCTTTCGCCCTTTGCATTGTGTGTAAATTTCATGATGAAAGGACCACACAAAACATCCCAAAACTACTTGGAAAAACATTCATTCCATTGGCTTACAATAAAAATAAATTAGGTTTTTTCCTTCTTCTGTAAAGTTACCATTTTGGAGAAACAAGGTTCTCTTCCGACAGCAGCGAATTGGTGGTCTGTCTCTTCATCTCTAAAACTTATCATCATCAGGATCCTCTTGTTTAGTGCTAATCTGGTCAGATTTTGGCTGTTTCTCCTCCCCACAATGAATCTACAGCGTTCATTAAAACTGCAGTATGTTTTTAATACTACTTGCTGTTATCTGTTAGAATTACACAGAGAGTATCAGTCAGTTTCATAAGAAAAACTAAAGAGTACAGGTGGCTGTCTGCCTGTAGAGGGCAGTAGAGGAACATGCAATTCAGATGGATCTTAATGTAAACTATCAAAATAGTAAACCATTCTTTTATAAGAGTACAAGGCCAGTACTTTGCCTTAAAATAATGCTGAAACGTCAACACTATATCAACTGCACCACATGGGAAAATAGAGAAACTTACCCTCAATGGAAGCCCAGAATCAACATATGGTAAACTTCCTTTCTAATTCCACTGAAAGTAGATCCAAAATGGCCAACTGAATGAAAAATACTCATCCAGCTGGCCATCTGAACCAAAATACACCAAGCTGGTACGGCATTCTGTAATGTATAACAGAATCATTGTGGTCAGTGTGGTAAGAGTACTCTACCTGTACCGTCTGTCTGTCTGGGATTCCGCCATACACTGATATCTGTGAGAGAGTTTGTGGCCTGTTGGTGGCGGTGGCGCTGGTGTTGCCATGGCTGTTGCTGGTGCTGTTGCTGGTGGTGGTGGTGGTGGTGGTGCTGGAGTTGCTGGGGGCAGCAGTGCTGGGGCTGGAGCTCACTGACCCCTGCTCCCTCTCCATGGCAGCCCTTTGTCCTGCTGAGCAAGATCCACGGCTACTGCTGCTCCGTTACACTCTCTTCCACCTGCCACCAAAAAAGCACAGTCACCAGAGTCAGTCTCAACATGTGGAGTGCCCACTTCAAGAGACCAACCGCAAGAATTCACCACATTCATGCGTGCTATGTCCTCTTTAAGATATCCTACACTCTCAGAAAAAAGGTACTCAAAGGTCACTGGGGCGGTACCCTCAAGGGTATGTCTTGATTCCCCTTAGTTAGGGAACATAACTGTACCGTAATCCACTGCAGTTCTATTTTTTAAGCTATACTGACTCCACGCACCACACACACACATATGTACTCTTCCCTGTGAAAAAACTTATTTAAGGTACACAATTGAACCCTAAAACCACTGTTGTCCCTTTGAAGGTACATTTACATTGCTCGTACTTTAATGAGGGAAAAATGTGTCTGTGCAGTACCTTTTTTCTGACAGTGTATATCAGAAGTATCTACAGTCCTGAAGACATACAGCCCTGGAGCGTTTAGTTCCACCACTCTTGCTCTAATATTCACATGCCCTTTAAGGCCTTGATTAACTGGATTCAGTGTGTTGGATAAGGGTTGGAACTAAACTCTGCAATTTGGTAGATCTCCAGTACCAGAGTGGATATCCATGTCCTAAATGTGCAGAACGAGAGGTATGATGTCAATATCATACCTTTAATTCTACATAAAAACAAAACAGTTTTGTGACAATCCATAACAATCACACTTAGTGGATATAATGCACTTCTTTCCAGGTTTATATAAGCACGCCTACTGCAGGTGTATTCAGTCTGAACATTCACAAAGCAGTGGTTCACACACAGATAAGGATTGCCTCTAAGAGCTACCTCCTGCAGTGAGAGTGGCAGCAGCAGTAAATTAGCCTGAATTATTAGAAATGGTAGAAAGGTGTTACTGAGGAATGTGTAATTCAGACAAACACTATTGTGATCTTCTGGAAAGTGGTGCTGTTTTCATTTTCTTCCCAAAGCTGAAACAGTTTTGGAATAAACTCTGTTTAAGACCACACTCACTGCTCAGTGTCGAAGCTACTGACTCGGGCTGGCTGTAAAGTAAGCTAAACTTTTATAGTTACTGTATTAACTAATGTTGATTTTATGATGATGCCTAAAGATAAATAATGCTACAGAGCAATGTCAAGATCAGTTAGCTAACTACGTTATTTATTAGCTTAGCTGCTGACAGTCCCCTTGATAAATTAGTCACATGAAACAGTACAGTACAGTACTTTTTAACAATATTAATGTACTTTCTACATGTAGAAATATACATCAGTATAACAGTATATTCACTTGTACACATGCCATTCTTTGTATTGTTGGACTAAAGTTTGCTAAAGTTTGTAAAAGGTGATGAGATAAATGATGACTAGCTCCAGTGTTTAGTGCTAGCTTTGGCTCATCTTAGCTCACACCTCCTCCTGATGAGACATTAAAACCTGTTGCATTATTCCAGTGACAAAAAGATTTTCATGATTTGATTAATGTAAACATGGTTTCCAGAATTTTTATTTTTTTTTTTCATTAAAATTGGTTTACATTTATGTTTTCATTTCTCAATTTGGGCAGAATATCTTGTAAAGTCACTTTTTGAATAATTAAATGTTTTCAAAGGGTCTCCTCTGTGTATGTTTGTCCATTAGCAAAATTGTTAGGGATTCCAGGTCACCTGAGCTGAAAGATTGATGGATAGTAACTAAGGAAGGGGGGCTTGTATAAATTTTGCAAATGGTCAGTTACAGTCCAGGAGGGCCAGCATAGTTTTGTCATTATTTCTGCGGTTAGGATGTGAAACGGTCACAGTATTAACACCATCGCTAAGGTTTCATTCAACTCCTCAGAGCATAAAAGCATAAAAGACTAGAACTGTAGAATTGATTTCTGGTTCTGAGGGACACTTGGTTTAACTCGTTGGTGTGTTTGAGCAGGAAATCACCAAACTAGGGTGGACTAAATCAATTCTACAGTTCTAGTCTTTTATGCTTTTATGCTCTGAGGAGTTGAATTAAAGCTTAGCGATGGTGTTAATACTGTGACCGTGTCACATCCTAACCTCCGGTCTCATGGTCAGCCTGCAGCTGTCACTTAAATGAAACTTGAGCAATATGAATCATGAGCTTCCATTACGTTAGAATCACTGCATGCACACTATGAAAGAGTAAGCAAGTGTTCATATTCAAGTTCTAACTGGTTCTTACTGATTACTTGGAGTGAATGTTCTGAAAACAAACACTAACAATCAGGGTTCCAGTTCAAAATGACATCAAGGTTGTTCTGATTTACACATCATTGCTGCAAGTTCTAGGTCATGTGCTTCTACCCATCAGCCTATTCATCTACACTGTAAAACATTTTAGCGTAAAATGACAGTAATATACTGGCAGCAATTTCTCCAGTCATTTACTGTTTATTTACAGTACTCATACTGTATTATATAATTACACTCCTTGACTGTATTTGTAAATAGATTTGATTACTGTATTTGTACAGTTTTCTCATATGTGCTGTAATGTGCCCCCACAACTGTCTGAAGATTCTCAGTTTTGCTAGATTATGTAGTACAACATGTGATGATACAGGCAAACACAACAAATCTATCTAGCTAGTATCCAGTAGCAAATGCTTGAACGTTCATGCAATTTGTGACATATTTAAAAGAATGATCATGCTATTTTTCACAAGAGCACAGTACGATTTGTCAGTCACATTGTGAACTGAACATCTTATTACAGCAATTACATGCACTTAAACCAGTCATTAACATTGCAAAGATGACAGTAACCGAAATCTATTAGTTGTCATGTAACAGAATGAACTAAAACACAGAACACCATCATGTTTAGCATGACAAAACATATTAAATGCATTCATACATGAAAATAATGTTAAAATTTAAAAAGTGAATAACCTGTAGATTAAGCGAATCAACCAAAACTAACAAAAAACGTGAGGAATGCTGGGAAGGTCCACCCTGTCACTACAGTATTCCGTGACAAGCTGCATGAAGTACTGGTCACTTTCCCAACATGCTGTAAATCTGTGCTGTAAATTTACATCAGTTTACAGTGTAGCTCCTGTTCACTAAAGACTGCAGGTATAATGAGAGTTTGCTGGAGGGGTTGAAGTGAACAGCGATGATGAAGCACCAAACTGTGTCATGATCACAGGCCTTTTTTGTGATGCGTTTACAGCCCACTCTGCTGCTCCAGGTTTAGCAGCTCTTAAGACTGAGGTGTGTGAACAATACCACACACGAAACATCAGCCCAATCACCAGCATTGTGCTTTGATGTGCCAGGGCATCTCTGTGGCTGCAGGACATGAGTCAACAGGATCTATGGCTCAGTCTTGTCTGAGAGCCACAACCGTACACTGTTGCATTGCTTTGGTATGCATTTGAGAAAACGCTGCCTTCACAAAGGAGCTTAGGTTAAGGATGGTGATGGTGATCTTAGGGCTCGTTTGGATTCAGTTTAAAAGCATCAGGTAAATCTCAGTTAGGTGACATGAGTTGTACAGAGTGTGTTGCCTTTGTCCCACTAACTACATCAATAACACTGAAACTTTGTTGTAGAAGAATGCAATACTATACAAAGAATATCACACACTACTTTATAGTGGAGTTTAAAACTAAAGCATGTTTAACCCCCAAACCACATTATTTGCTGGAGACTGAAATTATGGGTGGGCAAAAGTAATGACACATTGGTATCGATATGCCAATATTAGCAATGTTAGGGTGCTAGTAGTAAAGCGCAGTAGTTTCAGTGTTTCGAATGATATTGAAAGGTTTTTGTATTGGTATCAAAAAAAGAAAAAGTGTTATTTTGCCATGTCTAGAGATCAATATTATGACATATTACTGTTATTGTGATAAACTATTGTGAATATAGTACTGTGCAAATGTTTATTTTCCAGCCAGTAAGTTCATTTTTCAGCATCAGAAAAAGACAGAAAGTATATATTTTAACAGAAAACTAAACAGAGCCCTCAACAATTGAATTTCATTTAAATGTTTTTCAGTATTTAGTGCATCCACTCTTTGCCTGTATTGCAGCTTTCATTCTCTTTACGAGACTTGCTTTCATAAATCTGCAGGGATATTTTTTCACACCTTCTGTTTCTCACAAACCAAGTAATCCCAAACACATTCATTGATGTTGAGGTCTGGACTCCGGGGTTGTCCTTTGCTCTGAGAATACCAGCAGCTTCTCAGTAAGATTTTCACATTTTCTTTTTTGTGCCTGTTTCATTTACTTTCATTTAGTAACAGTTTCTTTACAGCTACATGTCCTCTTCACAGTGGAACGATGGACAGAAACACCTGTGGATTTTTGTCAGATCTGAAGCAAGAGTGGAGCTTCTCCTATCTCTTGAAGATTTAAGCACAGTTTATCTGATGATGACAGTTTTGGTGGTCTATCAGGCCTTGCAATGGTGTTAGGAGTCCTTTTTATTCTATATCTTCTTAATGTTTTTTTGAACTCCAGTTTTGGAAACTCCTGTTTGATTCACTTATTGTCCCTTGACTCTCCCCTTCACTTTCAAAGAAATCTTATATCTAATCTCCTCAGTAATATCTCCTGAAAAATTAAAGTTTTGTACTTAATGGCCATTCTGACTGGACATACAGTATTCCTAGAACACTGAACATTTGCATATATCATAAAAAACAGATGTGAACTAATATGGAAAGCCTGTAAACAACAGGTTTACAAAGTGTACAGTAACTACACAAACTGCACAGTAACAAGCAGCTGATTGAATGTTAGCCATTATTTTATTAATGTATTTACCTATTTTTAGTTTTCCTCCTGTTCCTTCTTAAACAGTTTACTTTTGTAACCACTCAATTAACAACTAATACTATAATGACACATGTTGTGAGTTGTAAACATGCCTACAAGTATCATGATGATTTTTGCAATATCGCCCTCCTTTAGGTACAAATCATAACTGATAAACAATCCAGACACATGCGCTCTACTCACATGGGTAGGAGTGTAGCTGTCTCAGC